CTCCTCTCTGTCCTCTGATGAGACATCTCCTCTCTGTCCTCTGATGATACATCTACTCTCTGTCCTCTGATGAGACATCTCCTCTCTGTCCTCTGATCTCTGTCCTCTGATGAGACATCTCTCTGTCCTCTGATGAGACATCTCCTCTCTGTCCTCTGATGATACATCTCTCTGTCCTCTGATGAGACATCTCTCTCTGTCCTCTGATGAGACATCTCCTCTCTGTCCTCTGATGATACATCTCCTCTCTGTCCTCTGATGAGACATCTCTCTGTCTCTGTGTAACTCCCTCTCTGTCCTCTGATGAACATCTACTCTTGTCCTCTGATGAGACATCTCCTCTCTGTCCTCTGATGAACATTCTTCTCCTCTCTGTCCTCTGATGATACATCTCTCTGTCCTCTGATGAGACATCTCTCTCTGTCCTCTGATGAGACATCTCTCTGTCCTCTGATGATACATCTCTCTGTCCTCTGATGAGACATCTCTCTCTCCTCTGATGAGACATCTCCTCTCTGTCCTCTGATGAGACATCTCCTCTCTGTCCTCTGATGAGACATCTACTCTATGTCCTCTGATGAGACATCTCTCCTCTCTGTCCTCTGATGAGACATCTCTCCTCTCTGTCCTCTGATGAGACATCTCCTCTCTGTCCTCATCATTGCACCGTTCTTTTATCCCTTGCATTAATGATAGTGTGTTTGTTTTGATTGATTACGTGCTGATGCCTGTGAAGCACTTTGAAATGCATTGGTTTCTTAAAATGTACAAATAAACTAACATTAACCTTGAATAGCTCATTAATTTAAAGAACCCTTAATAAAGTGTCTCAGAGTCAGAGGGAATGAGACTGAGACATGTTGCTTTGACCTGTTGACCTCTGGGGATCTGCCAGTGGACTGGATGTTTGAAGAGCGTCACATTGACCTCAATCAGACCCAGATCAATCCTCATACTCTCTGTCTCCACTCCACACCTAGCCACAGCTCAGCAACACATGAATAATTACACCACACACAGCTGAACATCCATTGGATCCTCTGAGGAGTCGGTGATCTGCATGTGAGGAGGACAGAGGGAGAGGGATGTCCAGGATATCTGAAGGTCTGCTGGGGTTTCACCTCTGAATGTCTGAGACACACTGATCCATCTCAGAGAGTCAGAACCATCAGACACATCCTCCATTAACCTCAGTCTGTCGTTCACCATCAGCTGTTTCCATGACTGAATACATGAGAGCAACCATCCGGTACTTACCAGTGTTTCCTAAAGGAGGACACAGAGGAGGAGATGAAGCTCCTCTTCATCCTCTGGAGGTCAGCTGTGATCAGGCTGCAGATCAGAGGAAGACAGGTAGAGACACTCTGGAGGAGGAACCCAACAGAACCAGGCAGTGAACTCAGAAATGAAGAAAGGTGGATCTGTTTTATCGTACCAGTTGGTTTTATTATGACAATACACACTCGATAAGCAAAAAGCCGTAGCATCCTGCATAGACCAGCGACCTCGTGTCAGTGGTGTCGGACTGCGCTTACATTATTATTGCAAAGGGTCTCTTTCTGATGAAATCATTAGCAGACATAAGGACATAAAAATAAACTTTGTGATTACATAAAATACGGGTCATTCCATCTTTGTATAGTGAGGGGGATACATGGCGATATGCAAACTCACACACAGTCAAATAAAACACTTGAAATATGTGACCCAAGAAAACAAAGTGTACATAACTGAATCATAGTTTAACTTCTAGGCTAAGATTTTACAAATCACTGAAGACTAATCATTCATTTTATTTTAATAATCAAACAGTTTGAGGCTGTATCAAAAACTTGGTAAAAAATGAGAAGGAGATAGACCGTTTTTAGGAGAGCCACTTTCTGGCTGGTTACGTACAAAAATAACTATCCCTGGACCAAAATAAACTGGAGGGGTCCTTTTCCTGTCCTGTGTTTGTAGAAAAGGGCGGACATGGCATTGCTGTGAACCTGTCTCCAGATCCAAGTCTCATTGTGGACGTCTGCATACAGCTTTACATTAAGCATCCAGACTCAGCCTGAGCACCTTATTAGAATCATCTCTTTCATGATAAAAAAACAGTAGTTTATTAATAGTTTATTGACCCCAGCCAGAGGGGATAAAGACATCTCATATTTCCTCCAATGGACAGCAGTTCATCTATATTTATATGGAACAGGAAAAAGATCTCCTGCAGGTCATTTCAGTGAGGCAGTCCTTTTCTTTCACCACCAAAAAATATAACACAATCTATCTTCCAGATATACAGTGAATTCAAACCAATAAACAAACACATGATTTATTATTCATCTCTAAATCATTTAGGCTACCTTGTTATTCTCCTCTTTACCAGACATTGTGAAAAAGGATAGAACTGGTGTTAGAAGGCAAACCCTATTGAATCTGAAACACACACACACACACACACACACACACACACACACACACACACACACACACACACACACACACACACACACACACACTCTCTCTCTCTCTCTCTCTCTCTCTCTCTCTCTCTCTCTCTCTCTCTCTTCTCTGTCTCTGTCTCTGTCTCTGTCTCTGTCTCTGTCTCTCTCACACTCACACTCACACTCACACACACACACACACACACACACACACACACAGTCTGCAAGCTGATGTGAGATCCGTCGTGTGATTTTGTTATTCAGAGGGTCTCACTCTTTATTAAAAACCCGGATAGATGCCTAAAGGTCTGATGGCAGATTGCTGTCTTCTCGTATTATTAAAAAGCAAGACCGAGAAGACATGTTAGCAAACACTTCAGTCAAGAAAAAAAGATAATAACCTAGGGGTAATGATGAAAAACTGAATAAAATCCGGTATTTAAAATGAGCAAAATGAATGCTGGGATGGGAGAGCACCGCTCCCAATCGCTGCTCCTGACCGACGAGTCGGCCGGAAAGACGGCGGGTCGAGATTTTGTTTGTCTTTAGGCCACTTTAGTAGCTGGTCTACCACAGGGATCAGTAGTCCCTCCCAGCTGATTCAACCAATCCCATCGTCTACTGTTAAACCCCACCCACCTCATGACGCCCCCTCCCAAACCAGACTCCCCTGTAGCTGTTTTGTACATTAGCACCTCTTGTCATCCCTCCCTGTAAAAGTCCAGACAGACAAACACCAGAATGGAAACCGTCACAGTTCCTCAGGTGTCCTCTCCCTCCACCCGGCGAGGGGAGGGTGGAACAAGTCTTAAGGGGGTACGTATGGGGGTGGAGATCTGTAGGGGGTCATGTTCTTGGGACGGGACCCCTTGCCGTCCATGGGAGTGGTGAAGGGGGGCGGTGGCTGGTAGGGAGGCGCGTTGGGGTCCTCGTCCCGCAGGGCGGTGTACTCCCCCAGAAGCTCCTGGTTCAGGGGGGTCGTCTCCGGCGTGGCCATGTTGGGGTACTCCGGAGGGGGCAGGGGGGGTTTCTCCTCCTGCAGTATCAGGGGCATACTGGAAGAGGGAGGCGGCTTAGAGTCATCCAGTTCATCGGCGAAGATGATGGGCACGCCCTTCTTGATGAAGGTGGCCTGATCCTCGATGGTCAGCTTGCCCTTCCTCTTCTTCCTGTAGCAGATCATGGCGATGATGCCTGCGATCAACAGGATGGCTGCCACCACTACGGCGGGGATGACGGTGTGCAGATAAACGTCATCGGTGCTCTGCCGGCCCGTTCCCAGAGCCGGAGTGACCGCAGGGGGTTCTGGGATATCGATCTCTCCGGGTGGGATGAAGGAGAAAGTCCTGCAGCTTGCCCGTCCCTTAACGTGGACGTCCAGAGGTCTGAATTCAGGATCCATGGAGTACCTGAAAGTCTGGGAGGGTTTTCCGTCAGCACTGGCCAGCGTCCTACTCAGGATGGCTATCTGCTCCTTTGGACAGGGGTTCTGAGGGAGGCTGGTGTTCGTCCACTCCACCACGATGGACCCTTTGGTGATGTTTCGGAGACTAACTGTGCTGCTGTTGCGATCTCCCAGTGCATAGGCCAGCTTCTTGACCAGGAGGATCTTCTTGTGGATGTCGTTTGTTATTGAACGCGGCTCACCTTCGAACCGGGCCGTGAAGATGACAGGGGATTTATCATTGACAGGCCAGCGGTTCACACGCACTTCAAACGCATCAATAGCATTCAGGCTGCCTTTGTCTGTTGCCTGCATGAAATACTCGTGTTTGCCCACATGCTGGGCATCAGGCAGCCCGTACAGGAGTTGACTGGTGGTGTTGAACTGGATCCAGGAGGTCTCCCCAACCACCTCGTTGTGTTTCTGTCTCAGAGTTAGACGCAGCTTGTCAGTTGTCCCGTCCTCTTTGTCAAAGAATGTATCCGACGGGATCTTGACTTCGAAGTAGGTTCCCACCAAAGCATTGACCTGGTCGATGGGGTTACGCAGGACGGGCTTCTCGTTGGCTGGGTCTGGGATCAGGACCCCCGGGGAGGGTGTTGTGCGCCTTGGCGGCTTTGCTGTGGTGGTCTTTGGCTCCCTGGGTGAGGGTGTGGATTTGGGTCTCCTGGGTTTCTTAGTAGGTTTTCTCGTAGGTATGGGTGGGGTCACAGTCGCCTCTACGTACGTAGGCCTGGTCATGGTGGGCTGGATAGGGAGGGTGCTGGTGGTCTCCATGACCCTGGTTGGTTGAGGGGGTCCCAGTGTTGGGGTGTGGGCGATGGATTGAAGGACTTTTATGGTTGGCTTGGCTGGCAGGGGGACAGGGCCTCTTACAGGGGGGGCGGAGCTCTCGGTCGGGGCAGCAATAGAGGGCGAGGAAAGGGTTGGGACGATCCTCACTGGAGGCTCCACCACCGTAGTCGGAGGAAGCACCGCTAGAACGGGGGTCGGGGTGTTGTTTAGTTGGCGCCTCACCCGTTTAGGGACGTGGGGCTTCTTGTTGGCGATGTGCCACCCCACCACCGGGTAGCCCAGCCTGGCCGACATGCTGCCCTCCTTCGCCGGACCCTGGACGCTGTTGATATTCGGGACTGAGCTCTGGTCCAGGGAGCAGCCCAGCTTCCAGGACAGCAGGGCGCCATTCTCCACCACCTGGGGAGGCATTGGGACTCAAGTTATAATCTTTCTAGCAACACAATTTCAAATCACACGCCTTGGTACTCTATTTTAAACATTAAATTACCTGACGTGTCCAACACCGCGGCTTGTTTTTTAGGTCCACCAGGACTTTGTCATTACAATAAATGCATTTGAATTGCCTAAAAAGATTGGCTTGGTATATTTTTGATTTCTGTAACTTCTTGTATCTTTATCCACATTTCACCTCAATCAAACTCCATTTCCAGAAGGCCCTCGTAGCCCAATATGTTTTGATAAATAATATGATCAGCATCCATTCTCTAGAATCACTGGCTCACCTTTTTGGCGTTCCCGGGCCCGGCCATGAAGGCGGACATGTCAAACAGACGGTTGTTGACCACAGGCAGTATCTTCATGTGTGTCAGCCCGACCCCGGAGAAGCCCCTCATGTCCTCCAGCAGCTCCACCCTCTGTACGGAGCTCATCTTGGTCAGATCCGCGTCCAGGATCACCGTCAGCACCGTCACCGGCTCCTCGTTGCTACACATGAACGGCTGCACGTCCTCCGCAGTGGACGCCTGGTTGGAGACCAGCTGAGCCGAATCTGCGTCCAGGTGGTCTTCAGGGAGTACCTCGATGGAGAACACCTCAGAGGAAAAGGATGATTTTGTGTGGTTGGAGATAGAGACGGAGATGTAATGGACGCCTTTGTCCTCCTCTAGAGGAAGACCCTGCAGGAGTCTGCTGCTGGAGTCCCAGTGCAGCCAGGGAGGGAGCGAGTCCTTCCCCATCTCTGAGATCTGAGGAGAGACAGCACGGCGTTAGAAACAGAGCTGCAGCAGAGACACTGTGTTAGATACAGGGTCCATCAACAGAGCTGCAGTAGAGTCTGTGGGCCAACCCAGAAGTTAGTGGGGCCTGTCACTTTGTTGGTATTCATATGTAATGTTGATTTCATCTGGATTTATCTTTAATGACCCTCACAGTTTGTATTTCTCAGCTTCAAATATGTTTTCCTTTGTCAGTTATTGATGCAAGTTGTGCTTTATTCTCAGATGTTTAACAGGAAGTGACGTGGAAGTCAGATGCAGAATTAAAGGGTTTGATGCATGCTATAAATGACATGAGCAGGAATTACTGCTGAGGGTTTACTACACTCTGAGCTACTCCTCACACACACACACACACACACACACACACACACACACACACACACACACACACACACACACATCTCCTCTCTGTCCTCTGATGATACATCTACTCTCTGTCCTCTGATGAGACATCTCCTCTCTGTCTTC